TTTTGAAAAATCCGAGTTTATTGGCCGGATGGTTTTTTGTAAAGATATTCTTGAAGGTCCTTTGAAAAAATATTCGTTCAAGAATCTTGATGTAAAAAAAATTCTCTATCTATGTTGGGCCTTTAAAAAAATAGATTTTTATCCGCACTTTGATTGGATCCAAGGTCCTAAAGGATCGCCTGAAGGTTCTTAAAACAAAATTCTAAAAATCATCGTATATAAGTCTGGAGGTTCGTAAAACTGAAGAAGATCCTTAACATTATTCTTTAAAAAAACCATTTTAATGGGTCGACGAGTTCTTGTAAAAATAATTTTAAAAATTCTTTAACAAAAGTTTCTTATTTTTAGGTATTATTATTTTGATATCTAAGATTAGAAGTCCCTCTGCGCAAAATTTATATTCGCCTGAAATAATTTAAGATTCTGAAAATATAACAGTTTTCTTGTTGTCAACGTGTGTAAGCGTGTGTATAATTAAGTGAAAATAAGGTGAAAATGATGACAAAGAGTTCCTTGGCCCTTGTCCGATATTTCGCCATTTTTTTTTTTTTTTTTTTTTTTTTTTTTGAAATTTGATTTCAATTCTTTATCCCCAAAAAAATATTTGTTACTAGGAAAAAAATGAACAAAAAATATGACAAAGAGTTCTTTGGTCTCTATGGGGAAATTTCCTTTTCCCTCCATTCCTCTCAGTGTAGCTGGGAACTTTGATTTGATTTTTTGGCTGCAGCCTGCCTGGCTGCCCGGTTGGCTGGCTGTTTGGCGTAATGATTTATGCAATTGTCACACAATGAGATTTTGATTCGCAAAAATTCGTAGTTGTTGTTGTTGCTATGCATTGTTTTCAAATATCCACAAGGGGTAAAATAACAACATGTGTGGTAAATATATATGTTGTACAGTGGGACATGGCTTTAACGACCGCTTGGTAGTATCAAAATACATAAAGAAGCATTTTGGGAATCCATCGGAAAATTTTGTTAAAATAAATTACTTAAAATTAACCCTTTGTGGGTTATAAAAAATTAATTTAGTTATACAAAAATTATTAAATTTCAATTCTCAATCATATTATTTTGACTTGACATTTGACTTATAATTTTGATTTTTATTTCCCAATATCTGGATTCCGGGATACATTATTTTGAGAAAAGCTAAAAAAATGCAAATCTCTAAATTTTAATATTTTTTTATGGCAATGTTCCACTGCCTATGGACACACCCACACACAAACATGCTTCCATGGAAGTAAATAAAACAAAAAACCCAAACAGAAAAATGCAAACATTTCGGAATACATAAATGTTTTTATTGTTGTTGTTTTGGATTGACTTTCAAGTCAAAATGTTGAAACAGTTGAAATTAGTATTAGACAAATAAGGCTGTTAAGCGGTTTAACTTGCTTCTTTTTCAAAACGCAACGAGGATATTGAAAATAATAATTCAAGTGGAAAGCTATTGTGGAAAATATTATAAATCCAAATTATATATAAACAAAAAGAAACTTCATATAAAAACATAAAAATTTATTTAAAAATAAAAATTTAAATTTAAAATTTAAAAATAAAATAAAATTTTAAAAATTAAATAAAAAAACTGTCAAAATAATTTTAAAAAAAAGTACATCAAAAAATTTACTTTAAAACATTTACAATAAAAACATGTATGATTAAAATAACTGAAATTTAGTATTTAAAAAATACAAAGTGGAAATTTAAAACAAAAACAATATAAATTTTACCAACTAAAAACTCAAAACTTTATAAATAAATAACAAAAATAAATGAAAACATAACCAAATAAATTTTAAAAATGAAATCTAAAACTATCTGAATTTTATTTAAAAAAACCAGACCTAAACAAACATAAATTATTATAAACGTCTTTGAATTAAAAAGTTAAAAATATATATATTTTTATATAAAATTAAAAAAATTATCTACAAAACTTAAAGGCCTTAAAAATACACCAGAAAATATTAATTTATAAATTCCTCACAAATTCAAATTATGATACATGTCATAAAAAGTTAACTATTTTCATATATATAAATATAAAAAAAGAATATATTAAAAAAATATTAAAAATAAAAACTATTTATTAGGCTTTTAAAACTGATTGTGCCAAAGTAGAAACATGTTGCAAAAATAAAAAAATAAAAACTTAATAAGCCTACAAACTAAATATTTAAACTGATTTGTATAAAAAATAATTATTATTTAAATATTAAATAATATATATATTTTTTCTTTGTAATGAAATATAGAATGTCAAAAATTTTTCATGAAAAATAAAAATTAAAAAACTAATAAAAACTCGTTTTTAAATTTAGCTTATGTTTAAAAATATTTAAATAGGCTCAAAAAAAAACAAATAAAAAACTTCAAATACAAAAAAAAAACGCTAATAACGTAAAATTTTAATATTTAGAATAAGTGGAAAATAAAAAAATTGGAAATTATTGAAAAAAATTCAATAAAAAAAGTTACTAACTTAATTAACCAGAAAGCTTAAAAATTTAATGTGCTATAAATTAATTTAAATAGAAATCGAAAACTAATTATATAAAAAATATTAATAATTATATAAAAATATAAAAAAATATTTGTTAAATGAATTAAAAGAGGAACTGAAAAAATTAAAAATTTTATTTGACAAAAAAATATGAAATTAAAGTATTTAAATAACATCAAAAACCATTAAAAAAATATTAAAAGAAAATATTAATTAAAAAATCAAAATAGCTACTGAATAAATAAAAACTAGAAACATATATCAATTTTTTTCAAAACACATATAAAACATTGAAAGAATTTAGCAAAAAATAATAATATATAAATTCAGAACTTAAAAATTAAACATTCAAGTGGAAAAAATTTAAAAAAAAAATAAATTGAAAAAAAAAAATATTTAATTTAGACAAGCTTTTATATTTTTGGTGCCAAAAAGTAGCAAGAAAAAAAATAAAACCATTAAATATCATTTAAAGAAGATCATTTAAAAATCAAATAGCTACTTTAATAAATAAAAAAAAGAAACATATATTAAATAATTTAGCAAAAAATAAAAAATATATAAATTCAGAACTCAAAAATTAAAATAGTCAAGTGGGAAAAAATTGAAAAAAAAAATAAATTGAAAAAAAATTATTTAGTTAAGACAAGTTTTTATATTTTTAGTGCAAAAAAATAGCAAGAGAAAATAAAATTAAAACATTTAAAATTATTAAAAGAAAATTTTTATTTAAAAATCGAAATAGCTAGTGAATAAATAAAAAATAGAAACACATGAAATATTAAAATAATTTAGCAAAAAAATAAAATATACATAAATTCAAAACTAAAAAATTAAAAAGTCAATTGGAAAAAAGAAATTAATTGAGAAAAATTTATGTAATAAAGGCAAGTTTTTATATTTTTAGTGCAAAAAAAAATTAGTGAAATTTAAAATTAGTAAAATTTAGTGCAAAGAAAATTAAATTAAAACATTTAAAGCCATTAAAAATTATTAAAGGAACACTTTCATTTAAAAATTAAATAGTTACTAAATAAATAAAAAATAGAAACATAAATTTAGTTTTTTTTTTCAAAGCATATAAATTAATTTATCAAAAAAATAAAAAATACATAAATTTAGAACATAACTATTAAAAAAGTCAATTGAAAAATAATTAAAAAAAATTGAAAAAAAATAATTAATACAAGTTTTTATATTTTTAGTGCAAAAAATAGCAAGAGAAAGTAAAATTAAATTTATAATATTGCCGTTAATATTCAAACAATAAGTAAAATTTGTAAACAAATAAAAAATAATATAAAGTTATATATACATATGTTCAAAAATAATTTATATTAATCTTGGATTTTATAATATAGCCATCAAAATTTATATTAGAAAATAACAACATTTCATAAAAATTATTATAATTAAATTAAAATTAAAAGAATAATTTGAAAAACAAAAAAACAAGTTATATATTTAAAACAATTTTCCACCAAAAAAAAAAAAACGAAATTAAAATAATAAAAAATATAAATTAAAATATTTGTTTTCAATTTTTTGGAAATATATAATTTTTTTTGTTGGTACATTAAAGAATAACATTAAGACCAATTAAGAAAATTTAAAAGAAAAAAAATTAATTGAAAAAAATATTCTGTTAATTAAAAATATAAAGAAAACTTTACAAAAAATAAAATCACAATAGAAATATAATTAACACATATTTTGCATTTACATAATTTAAATATAAATAAAAATACATAATAAAACATCCTCTGAAATTTGTAAATTGAGTTGTGTATTTCAACAATTAAAATATTTTAATTATATAGAACTAAAATTAATCAGTAAACAATATATATTATTAATTTTTTTTTTTCAAAATATTAAAAATAATAATTAAATAGCATTGCGAATCTGATTTAAAAAAAAATACAAAAAACAATTAAAATAAAAAACTGAACATTAATAAAAAATAATAAAAAACATAATTTATAAATGCTAAATTATTATTTTAGATAGATTAAAGATCATATTTAGATAAATATTCTACCTTTAGCAGATATATATATTAAATAAAAAAAATAACAAATATCAAAAGTCCCATCTCAAAGAAACGCCACATAATTTTGTTAATTTTCAATATAATTAATTTTTTATGGTTAAAACTAAAAACAAAAGATCTTTTTTTTAATTATATCAAAAAGTAACAAAATTTTAAGGATATAAGAAATTATTTTTAATTTAAGTCTACATAATAAAATAAAAAAATAAAATAAATAAAAAAATATTTAAAATACAATTTCCAAAAATTAAAAAAAAAATATTTTTTTTAAAATTAAAATTAAATTTAGAAATATTTAAATAAAAAAATAAAAGTAATAAATATTAATAACAAAATCTCGAATAATAAACAAATATTTCACATTTATTTTATTTTAATTTAATTTTAATTTATTTAATTTAAGCCAAGAAATTCATACAAATTAAACAAAGAGTTAAAAATTCATCATTTAACATTAAACACCTCGAAAAATCGATTATCAAATCTATTTGGTAATTAACAAAAAAAAACACCTTCAATTTCTGGCGATTAAAGCCAATTCCAAAGTTGGCGATCATAAATCACAAACCGACGACGGGTACTAATCAAAAAGATTTACAACTTTCCATCGAAGATAAGTTTCTTAAAATTTTGCTTTCAAAACACTTGAGAGACATATTTTTCGCCCCAACGGAATCGCCAGTCATCAGTTTACTCGCAACCCTCGCGAAAACAAATCGACTGACCGACACAATGTCGCTGAAAGGTAAACTATTGCCAATGAAGCTATTGCTCCTGTCATGGGGCACCCTGAGTATTATGGCCACCCTGCCAACGGCCACCAAGTGTGATACGTCATATTATGAGAAATACTATTCGGCCAGGAGATTTTTACCCCTCAAGAAACCCTCTTTGGTGGAGGTCCATTTCCAGTTACAGCTACAGGATGAGAAATTGCAAGAATTTGAAAAAATGGCCATTGTGGGAGATATTGACCAGTTGGGTAACTGGAAGGCCAGCAAGGCAGTGGTTATGAATAAAACTTTGGATTTTGGAAAATGGGAGGCGGTACTACAAATACCAGTCAACTCTTCCTTCAGCTATCGTTACTTTGTGGCTGCCCAGGATAGGGCGACCTCTGACCTGCTAATTCGCCGTTGGGAATCTGCCCTGAATGCCAGATCGTTGAGTGTCACCACCGTGGCCGTAAATCAAACGGATAATTTTGGTTACATCTCCTCCTCCGGGGAGAAGGAGTTACAACGGGGCTGGCTTAACTCGGGGCATATTGTGCAGTTTAAATTGTTCCGTAACCCCTTGGCATTGAATGAGTCCCTGGGAACGAGTCAACAACAATTGAGAATCAAACTAACCCCCGTAGATCCGGAATGGCGTACCGCAATTTCCCCCTCCGGCCGAGCCTACACGGAATATGTACGCATGGAATATGGTAACAGTTTCTTGAGGACCCAACCCGAACATGGTGTGCTTTACAAGGAGGATGGTATCATCATGTTCCACACCACCGTCAGTGATTTGGCCAAGGTGGGATATCTATTCCAGCTCTATGTGGAGGATACGGACAATGACCTATATCGCCTGGTGGGCTATCAGTATCTGGAACCCGAGTTGCTGGTCAAAACTGATGGGGAATTGGAACTGAGTTTGGTCTCCCCCACCTGGATGAATGCCATCGGATCGCTGAAGCTAAAATATGTGGTGGTTCACCCCTCACCCAATTCTAGTGTAGATTTCCGTACCTCTTTTGTGGAATATTGGCGTGATAACTGGACCCATTTGGAGGCGGGCCATCGAGGTTTGGGAAAATCTTTGAAGGAGACCACCAATGCCGCTCCCATTATTGAAAATACCGTGGCTACCATGATTGCCACCGGCGAATTGGGCGCCGATATTGTGGAATTCGATGTCCAGCTGACCAAGGATTTGATACCAATTATCTATCACGATTTCTCCGTTTTTGTTTGCATTGAGTCCAAAACCCCCACCAGCAAGGATGACCTTACCGAGGTCCTTATCAAGGATGTCACCTATGAGCAACTTAAAGATTTGACTACCTATCAGGTGATTGGTTCGAAAATCATTGAATATCCCTCCCATAATTCGGTGAAGGATGAAAATCATCGCCTCTTCCCTACCTTTGAAGATTTCCTCACCAAGGTGAATAAATCGGTGGGTTTTGACATTGAAATCAAATGGCCCCAGCTCAAGAGCAATGGGGTGTGGGAGAGCAAGCAGACCATAGATAAAAACGTCTACATTGATCGCATCCTGGCTGTCATGATGGAACATGGTTGTGGCCGCCTGTCATTCTTTACCTCCTTCGATGCCGATATTTGTACCATGCTGCGTTACAAGCAAAACATGTATCCCGTTATGTTCCTCTCCTCCAGCAAAGAGGCCAATTTTGTGGATCCCCGCTCAGATACGATTTATGACTCCGTGAACAATGCCCAGGCCTTCGAGTTGGCTGGCATTGTGCCCAATGCTGTTTTTATTAAAAACAACCCAGCCTGGATTGAGGTTGCCCGGGCCCAACAGAAGAAGGTTTTCCTCTGGGGTGGTGATCTCAAGGATCGTGAGTCCATCGATTGGTTCTTGGCCCAAAATCCCACTGGGGTGATTTATGATCGCATGGACTTATATTTGACCGCCAATCGTACCAGTGCCTTTGAAAAGGAGCCGGATTTGCCCGAGTTCTTTGAATTGCAGTGCTCTCCCTCTGGAGGTCAGGGCAGTGGGGAGAATGCCACCATTACCCAGATTTTAAGTAATGTCAATATGTTGTAAACCAATGAAATTATTGTATAACAAAAGTGAACATTTTTAATAAAAGTATTTAGAAAAAAGTTGGGTTTTTTGCATAGCTGGAGACTTTGTTTGTTTGGAGACTTATGGTGAAATTTTGTGTAGAATATTTGGTTCATTGACATTTTTCCCCTTAGGTGAAGTTTTGGGGGACATTTTGGCACAAAATCGAAAAATGGACAAAATCGACTAAAAACGTATTTTTTATTTATATATCTAAAATTGGAAGCATTATAGGCTGATATATATACTAGATAAAGGTTTCTCTTGGTCGGTGACTCATAGTGAATTTTTACTGGGAAGATGTTCTTCTTTAACATCACCCGCCTAAAATTAGACTTTGTGCGAGATTTTGCCCTCAACCGGAAATAAGGTATAAAATTTACCAAAAAATTAACTTTGCTATACCCAAAATTGGAAGTGATATTCAGCAGGTATCTATTATAGCTACGGATTTCTCTTGGTCCCTAGCCTATACCAAAATTTGATGAAAAATACTTTCTTAATTAGTACTTCGTACCTAAAATTGGGTTTTTAAGAAATTTTGGCACTCTATTATAACCATAGGAAATTCACCCAAAAATGTGTAAACATGCCATTTGCAAAATACAAATTCGAGGCGATTTTAGACAGATATATATTATAGCTACCGATTTCTCTTGGTCAGAGCCTTATATTGAAATTTTGTGGAGAATATTTTTTTCTTCTACACTTGGCGCCTAAAATTATGTTTTGTAAGAATTTTAGGTACAAGTTCGAAAGTAGTTATAAAATTGTCCAAAAAGTAATTTTGATATACTCAAAATTGGACATGATATTAAGCTGGTATATATAATAGCTACCGATTTTTCATGGTCGGGGACCTATAGTGAAATTTGATGAAGAATATTTTTCTCATTAACAGTTTGTTTCTGAAATGTTTCAATCTTATAGGTGATTTGGGCACTTTATTTCAATTCTGGGAAATTAACCCAAAAATATATTTAAACACGCCATTTGCAATATACAAATTTGAGACTATTTTCGAAAGATATAAGTTATAGCTAACGATTTCTCTGAGTCGGAGACTCATATTGAAATTTTATGGAGAATATTTTTTCCTTCTACACTTGGCGCCTAAAATTATGTTTTGTAAGAATTTTGGGTATAAATTCGAAAGAAGATATTAAATTGACCAAAATATATATTTGCTATACCCAAAATTCGAAGCGATATTAAGCTGCTATATATTATAGCTACGGATTTTTCTTGGTCAGTGACCCATAGTGAAACTTGATGGAAAATATTTTTTACATTAACACTTTGTGCCTAAAATGAAGCCTTATAGGGGATTTGGTCACTTTCTTCAAATTCTAGGAAATTAACCCAAAAATATGTAAACACGCCATTTGCAATATAAAAATTTGAGACTATTTTCGAAAAATATAAATTACAGCTACCAATTTTTCTTGGTCAGAGACTTATATTAGAATTTTATGGAGAATATTTTTTCCATTTACACTATCCAACAAAAATTATGTTTTCTTGGTGTTTTGGGCATGAATTAGAAAAAGGTATAAATTTTACCAACAAAAAGTAATTTTGACATACTCAAAATTGGAAGTGATATTAAGTTGGTATATATTATAGCTACGGATTTTTCTTGGTCCCTGGGCTATAGTGAAATTTGATGAAGAATATTTTTCCCATTGACACCTTGTTCCTAAAATGAAGCTTTATAGAGAATTTGGTCACTTTCTTATAACCATAAGAAATTCACTCAAAAATATGGAAACGTATCTTTTGCAATTTATGAATTCGAGGCGATTTTAGACAGATATATATTATAGCTACCGATTTCTCTTGGACAGAGATTTATATTTAAATTTTGTGAAGAATATTTTTTCCCTTTTACTTATTGCGCCTAAAGTTATGTTTTGTAAGAATTTTGCGTATAAATTCGAAAGAAGATATAAAATTGACCAAAAATATATTTTTGCTATATCCTAAATTCGAAGCGATATTAAGTTGGTATATATTATAGCTACGGATTTCTCTTGGTAGCTGACCCATAGTGAAATTTGATGGAAAATATTTTTTCCATTAACATTTTGTGCCTAAAATGAAGCCTTATATATGGTTTGGCCACTTTCTTCTAGAAAATTAACCCAAAAATATGTAAACACGCCATTTGCAATATACAAATTTGAGGCTATTTTCGACATATATATATTACAGCTACCGATTTTTCTTGGTCAGAGACTTATACTGGAATTTTATGGAGAATATTTTTTCCATTTACATTATCCACCTAAAATAATGTTTTCTGGGAGTTTTCGGCATAAATTGGAAAAAGGTATAAATTTGACAAAAAAAAAGAAATTTTGACATACTCAAAATTGGAAGTGATATTAAGTTGGTATATATTATAGCTACGGATTTTTCTTGGTGGCTGACCTATAGTGGAATTTGATGAACATTATTTTTTCCATTGACACTTTGTGCCTAAAACGAAGCTTTATAGAGAATTAGGTCACTTTCTTATAACCATGAGAAATTCACCCAAAAATATGGTAACGTTTATAAATTCGAAGCGATTTTAGACAGATATATATTATAGGTACCGATTTCTCTTGGTCAGAGATTTATATTTAAATTTTGTGAAGAATATTTTTTCTTTTTACTTATTGCGCCTAAAGTTATGTTTTGCAAGAATTTTGGGTATAATTTTGAAGGAAAGTATAAAATTGACCAAAAATATATATTTTTGCTATACCCAAAATTCGAAGCAATATTAAGCTGCTATATATTATAGCTACGGATTTTTCATGGTCGGGGACCCATACAGAAATTCCATGAAGAATATTTTTTTCATTAACACTTTGTGCCTAAAATGAATCTTTTTAGGAAATTTTGGCACTTTCTTACAACCATAAGAAATTAACCCAAAAATATGTAAACACGCCATTTGCAATATACAAATTTGAAACTATTTTCGACAGATATAAATTATAGCTACTGATTTCTCTTGGTCGGAAACTTATATTGAAATTTTGTGGAGAATATATTTTCCCTTAACACTACTCGCCTAAAATTATGTTTTCTGGGAGTTTTGGACATAAATTGGAAAGAAGGTAAAAAATTGACCAAAAACACATGTTCTGCATTCTCAAATTTGAACATGGTTTCCAACAGGTATATATCATAGCTACCGATTTCTTTTGGTCAGGAACCCACAATGAAATTTGATGGGGAATATTTCTTCCATTAACACTTTGTCCCTAAGATGGAGTCTTATATGAAATTTTAGCACATAATTGGAACCATATGAAATTAAATCAAAAAATAGAAAACAAAAAGATCCCGAATGGCGCTCAAATGTTTCCGGTTTGTCATAGAAAACTATTTTTTTTAAATTATAGAAATCCCACATCTTTATGAAACAAAAATATTCATTTTTTCTAAGGAACTAGCATTGAAATTTAGTGGCGCCCAACGTACATATTATATTTTTATGCCCCTAACACTATCAGACCCTTCCTAATCAATCTTCTCATTTTTTATTCTCTTCCCCACAGCGCCAATTGATGGAAGCCTATATACGACAGAAACGGGCATCACCTGGCATGGTTCAGGCCAGTGATCTGCAAATAAACCGTCCGATATCAGGATTACGATCCGCAGGGCATAATGCACGTGAACTGCATGCCTACGATGGACCAATGCAATTCATTAGCTCTACGGCGAATCCAGACCAAATACTTAGCAATACCAAGGCCGATATTAGTTCGCCCACGACGTTGGCGAATAGTTCGGCGGGAAAATATGCCAATAATTCCAATCATGCCAGAACACCGAAACGTACAAATCTCAATATGGATGAGGGTAAGTGAGATAGAGGAGAGATTCTCTTTCCTCGTGAGATATAATATTTTTTTTCTCCCCTAGATCTCATAGAGGAAATCTCCACCCAAGACCTGGAGGATGAGGAGAGCACACCGATTGTTGTGACCACAGAGGTGGGCCAGGCGGGCCATTTGCACAGCAGTTCAACGAATTCAGCCTCCTCGCAACCGGGTCGCCAGAGATCGAGGCAACAATCCTTCGATGGCACCCTCGATGAGGAGGATTATGCCAATCGCAACAACATTGCTTTGGCGGCTCCCGTTATGCCCGCCAAGTCTCCCACATCCACAGCCAACTCGCCACATTCCAAGGACCATGGCCAGAATGGCCAGACCACGGAGAATGGGGAACCCTGTGAACCGGAAGGTGACATCATTGGAAATATTGAACAATTTGTAATGCAACCCGCCCCACAGGGGGTGTTGTACAAATGTCGCATTACCCGCGATCGTAAGGGTATGGATCGTGGCCTATTTCCAATTTATTATCTGCATTTGGAAAGAGACTATGGCAAAAAGATTTTCCTGTTGGGTGGCCGCAAACGTAAGAAGAGCAAAACATCGAATTATATCATCAGCTGTGATCCCACCGATTTGTCACGCAACGCGGAAGGTTATTGCGGCAAACTGAGATCGAATGTGTTTGGGACATCGTTTACGGTTTACGATAGCGGTAGCAAGGATAATACGGAAAATCCGCGTCAGGATTTGGCCGTGGTGATATATGTAAGTTTTAAAGAGAGAGATAAGAGATAACCCTCGCTATCTCTTGGGTTGTGGGACAATATATCATCAAACTTGGAAAGGGATTAATTTCAACTTATTTTAATTTTGAAAATTTAAAAATATGGCGCCCAACGGTTCTTGGAAAGTCGGAAAAATAAAAATCCTTTTATAGAATTCTGCCAAAAACCTTCCCAACAATAATCGAGAATTTTTCGAGGATTTTTTTTATCAAGGACCCTGTATAAAAAATCAAGGATTTTTAAAATTTTTTCTCAAGGATCCTTCAAACAATAGATGTGGATTTTTTGAAAGAGTTATTGTCAAGGACCTTACAAACAATAAACCAGAATTTTGTAAGGATTTTTTTCTCAAAAATCTGCCCAGAAATGATGAGGGATTTTTTAAGGTTTCTTTCAAAGGACATTTTGAACAATAATCGTTGATTTTTTAAAGAAATTATTTCAAGGACCCTCCGAATAATAATCAAGGATTTTTTTGAAGAATGTTTTACCTTCTTTTACTTTCCACATAATAAATCGGAAATATTACAATTCTTTTATAGAAATTTTCCAAGAACCTTCGCAACAATAATCGAGGATTTTTCAAGGAATTTTTTTTTTTATCAAGGACCGTGGATTTTTTTTAATTTTTTTTCTCAAAGAATTTTTCAAATTACAAATGGGGATTTTTTGAAAGAGTTGTTGTCAAGGACCTTACAAACAATAATAGAGAAATTTTTTGGAAGTATTCTCAAGAATCTTCCTGGAAATAATGAAGGATATTTTAAGGTTTTCTCAAAGGACCTTTTGAACAATAATCGTTTGAATTTTAAAGAATTTTTCAAAGGGCTTTCTAAACAATAATTGCGGATTTTTTTGAAGAATTTATTTCAAGGATCCTTTGAATAATAATCGGCGATTTACATATAAATTTATCTCAAGGATATTTTCCTAGCAATAACGACGGATTTTTAAGGTTTTTTCAGAGGACCTTCTCAACAATAAATTTGAAAAATTTATTTCAAGGACCCTCCGAATAATAATCTTTAATTTAATAATTAATAATTTTTTTGAAGAATTTATTTCAAGGACCTTTAGAATAATAATCGAGGATTTTTTGAAGAATTTATCTCCAGGATATCTCCAACAATACTAAAGGCTTTTTTAATTATTATTTCTAGAGAATTTTCCTAGCAATAATGGCGGGTTTTAAGGTTTTTTTGAAGGGCCTTTTAAATAATAATCGAGGATTTTTTTGACGAATTTATTTCAAGGACCCTCCGAATAATAATCGAGATTTTTTTGAAGAATTTATTTCAAAGACCTTCCGAATAATAATCGAAGATTGTTTCTATGAATTTGTCTCAAGGATATTTTCAACAATACTCAAGGATTTTTAATAAATTTTGCTTAAGGATCTTTCTGGCAATAATGACGTATTTTTAAAAAAATTTTCAAAGGACTTTCTCAACAATAATCGTCGATTTTTTGGAAGAATTCATTTCAAAGACCTTCCAAATATTAATCGAAGATTTTTTTCTATGAATTTATCTCAAGGATATTCTCAACAATACTCAAGGATTTTTAATGAATATTTCTAAAGGATTTTCCACAGCAATAATGACGGATTTTTAAGATTTTTCACAAAGGACCTTCTCAGCAATAATCGTTGATTTCTTGAAGAATTTATTTCAAGTACCCTCCGAATAATAATCGTTAATTATTTTGAAAAATTTATTTCAAGGGCCTTCCGAATATTAATCGAGGATTTTTAATGAATTTCTCTCGAGGATATTTTCAACAATACTCAAGGATATTTCAATGAATATTTCTAAAGAATTTCCCCAGTAATAATGACGGATTTTTAAGGATTTTTTTAATGGAGCTTTTGATCACAATTAATTTTTCAAAGAAATTTTCGATTTTTTAAAGAATTTATTTCAAGGATCTGATAATCAAAGATTTTTTTCTATGAATTTATCTCAAGGATATTTTCAACAATACCCAAGGATTTTTTAATAATTTGGCCTACCTAGCAAAATGATGGAATTTTAAGGGTTTTTTTTCAAAGGTCCTTTGGAACAATAATCTTTAGTATTTTTCAAAGGACTATCTGAACAATCGTCGTGTATTTTTTTGATGGATTTATTTCAAAGACCTTCCTAATAATAATCGAAGATTTTTTCTATGAATTTGTCTCAAGGATATTTTCAACAATACTCAAGGATTTTTAATGAATTTTGCTTAAGGATCTTTCTGGCAATAAGACGTATTTTTAAAGAATTTTCCAACGGATCTTCCCAACAATAATCGTCGATTTATTGGAAGAGTTCATTTCAAAGACCTTCCAAATAATAATCGAAAATTTTTTTCTATGAATTTATCTCAAGGATATTCTCAACAATACTCAAGGATTTTTAATGAATATTTCTAAAGGATTTTCCCACCAATAATGACGTTTTTTTTTAAGTTTTTCACAAAGGACCTTCTCAGCAATAATTGTTGATTTCTTGAAGAATTTATTTCAAGAACCCTCCAAATGGTAATCGAGGATATTTTTGAAAAATTTTTTTTCAAGGGCCTTCCGAATAAAAATTGAGGATTTTTTAATGAATTTCTCTCGAGGATATTTTCAACAATACTCAAGGATATTTCAATGACGGATTTTTAAAGATTTTTTCAAAGAAGCTTTTGATCAATAACAGTTAATTTTTAAAGAATTTTCGATTTTTTAGGATCTATTTTATTTCAAGCATCTAATAATCGAAGATTTTTTCTATGAATTTATTTCAAGGATATTTTCAACAATACCCAAGGATTTTCAATAAATTGTTCCTAAGGACCTACCAAGCAAAAATTATGGAATTTTAAGGTTTTTTTCAAAGGACCTTTGGAACAATAATCCTTAGTATTTTTCAAAGGACTATCTGAACAATTGTCGTGTATTTTTTTGATGAATTTATTTCAAGGACTTTCGAATAATAATCGAGAATTTTTTAATGAATTTGACTCAAGGATATTCTCGAACATTTTCAATTATTTTTTAAGGATCTTACCAGCAATAATAACGGATTTGTAAAGATTTTTTTCAAAGGATCCGTTGACCAATAATAGTTAATATTTTAAATAATTTTCTAAAGGTCCTTTTGAAAAATAATCGTCAATTTGTTTTTGAAGAATTCATTTCAAGGACCCTTCAAGAAAAAATCGAAGAATTTTTAATGAATTTATCTCAAGGATATCCTCGAGTATTTTAATTTTTTTAAGGACCTTCCCAATTATTTTTTTAAGGAATTTTCTCTAGGAAACTCCAAACGTAAATTTGGTGATTTTTTTTTCAAAAACATCTGCTTCGATTTTTGCCTGACCTTTCACAATTTTCTATGGATCTGTAAAAGGGTGTGACATAAGTGGCGCCCAACGTATACACATTTATTTCAGCGATGGCTATATAAAATTTGACTCCCGTCGGTTGTTTTTTTTTTTTTTTTTTTGGTGAAGACTCCGCAATGGTCGTCCACTTTCGAACTTAAACTCTCTTTAGCGTTCTCTTTGTAGAAAAAATTTCCCACTTCAGGTTGTTCTTTCTCCAATCAATGCTCTCTTTATAACCATTTACTTCTGTATACTCGCAAAAGCCTTAAGATCTCTAACTTAAGCTCTCTTTGGTGTTCTCTTTGTACCAAAAGTTCCCACTCCGGGCTTCTCTTTTTCCAATTTGAAGCTCTCTTTGCAGCCATCTACTACTGTATTCTCGTGAAAGACATCTATGACTGAAGATTGATTGTTTGTCTCTGTCTAACATCACAAATATGTAAAATATTTAATGGCGCCCAACGTGGGGCACATATGAAAAATATTTTTAACATTTCTATTTGCTTTATTTTCAATAAAAAAAAAAAACGCTAGCTGGCATTTATACACATTTTTAAGCAAAAATCACGGCATTAATAAAATGGCGCCCAACGCTAAATTTTCTCAAAATGTGTTTAAAATTGCAAAAACTACTAATTTTATAGATTTTGAACTCTAAAATATTTTTAATTTTTTTTCCAAAGGACACCAACATTTTGGGCTTCAAAGGACCACGCAACATGACTGTTATACTGCCTGGCATGACGGAGGATGATCAACGTGTGAAAATCAGCTCAGCGGACCCAAAACAACAAGGTATTATGGATTTGTGGAAAAGCAAGGTGGGTTCACACACTGAAATTTTAAACCTTAAAACGAATCATTCGAATTTTCCTCTTTATTTCCCAGCACTTGGACAACATCGTCGAACTGCACAACAAAACACCCGTCTGGAACGATGAAACCCAATCATATGTCTTGAATTTCCATGGTCGCGTTACCCAGGCATCCGTTAAAAATTTCCAGTTGGTACACGATTCCGATCCCGAATATATTGTCATGCAATTCGGTCGCACCTCAGAGGATGTCTTCACCATGGACTATCGTTATCCGTTGTGTGCCATGCAGGCCTTTGCCATTGCCCTGAGCAGTTTCGATGGCAAAATAGCGTGCGAGTGAATGGGGGAGGAGAATCGTGTACACGAAAGAGATAGAGCTTATAACGGCGGCGAATGCGACGTCACGAAGATCACGAAGATCGTAGAGAATTAAGTTAGATTAGGTTAAGGATACAAATTTGTTTTGAAATAGGTTTTATTTTGTTAATACCCTAGTATTTAGAGTCCACACAGAACTACACACACACAAACGGAGCATAAACAGCTGCCCGACAGGGAGTTTATGTTAGAAGTCTGATTGTTAAATTGTTTTTTCTGTAAATATTTTAATGCTTCGGCGGATGCGAATTCATGTCTTATTAATATCTAATCTCAATGTTCCACAAAGAAAAACAATTGCTCAATTTATAACACAGGGTCTGTTCCTGCAAGAACTGCAAAAATTTAAAAATTTTTACTACGAGAAAAAAAAAATTGCAAAAATAGTAGATCCATGCAGGTTCCGGAACTGAGCTACAATTTTTATAATTTTTTTTCTAGAACTCTGGGATGTTGGAATTTCACCCATCAAATGGTGCCCTATATGGAGTATATCATGACATTTATTTCACCTCTACTTTGTTTGAAAGAAATATCGAAAACATGTAATGGCGCCCAAGGTGGGTTCCATATCAAAAAAAAAGATGTTTTTAAGGTATATATGTGATTAATTTTCATTTAAAGCAACGCTAATTGCAATTTCTCCTCGATTTGAGGCTGGAACTCTGCCAAAAATGAAATGGCGCCCAATATGTGATTTCAAGAATTGTTAGGATTTGAGTTTATAATTTCGATATGACCTCTATTTTAATGTGAGGAAAAAAATTCCATACATTTTAAGATTATTCTGCAACGCCTTCCGCAATTTCTCCAATTTTTTTGAGCTGAAATCCCGCAAAAAAAATTAAAATGGCGCCCACTGTGGGATTTCAGGAATTTTTAGGATCGAATCTTAATATGAGATTTATTTCAATGTGGGTAAAAAGGCTGAACAACATTTTATAGATTTTAACCTTAATTTGCAATTTTTCGTCTTTTTCGAGCTGAAATCTCATTAAAAATTAAAATGGCGCCCAACGTGAAATATCAGAATTTTTTTGAAAATATCTGTTTAATTATTTTATCTAACTTATTTTTTATTGTGAGGAAAAAACGCTGAACAAAATTTCCTAGATTTTAACCTTAATCCGAAACGCCTTCCGCAATTTCTCCACTTTTTTGAGCTAATATCCCGTAAAAAAATTAAAATGGCGCCCAATGTGGGATTTCAGGAATTTTTAGGAATGAATCTTAATATGAGCTTTATTTCAATGTGGGTAAAAAACGCTGAACAAAATTTTATAGATTTTAACCTTAATCTTCAATTTCTCGTCTTTTTCGAGCTGAAATCCCATCAAAAATTAAAATGGCGCCCAACGTGAAATATCAGATTTTTTTTGAAAATATGTTTTTAATTATTTTATCGAACTTATTGCAATGTCAGGAAAACCACTAACCCAAATTTCTTTGATATTCAAACTTTCAATAGCTTAAATGGCGCCCAACGTAAATTTCAAAGTTCTAACGAAACTCTGCGTACTCAAGTTAAGACATCCTTTTTTGGGCATAAATTAATGGCGCCCAACGTGAAATATAAGAAATTTCTTAAAGCCGCTTACCCAAATTTCATTGATTTTAACCATAAAAAACGTTAATGGCGCCCAACGTAAATTTCATAACTTCATTTGAAGCCCTACATACTCAAGTTAAGGCATTTTAAAAAAAGGCATTTTAAAATTCCCAAATTTTCATTTAAATCAACGTTAATGGTAATTTTTCCTCTTTTTTGGGGGCGGAAATTCAGGCATAATTTAAAACGGCGCCCGACATGAAATTTTAGAAATTTCTTAAAAACAATTGTTTAATTATTTTATCTAATTGCTTACGAAAAGTTTAGGAAATTTTTAAAATTTTTAATTGTCTTATTTTTTTTAAATCGCCGCTAAGGTTTTTTCGTTTTTTTTTTTTTTGGGCAGAAGTTTAGGCATAAATCAAAATGGCGTTAAATTTCAGGAATTTTTTAAATTTAATTTATAATAACATTATCGAACTTATTTCAATGTGAGAAAAACGGCTGACCCGATTTTCTTTGATCCTAACCTTAAAAACTTCAAGTGGCGCCCAACGTGGATTTCATAAATTCTTCCAAAATATTGGGTATCCAAGTTAAGGACATTTCCAAAGTTTAAAATTGCTTAGTTTTCATTCAAATTTACCCCAAGGGTAATTTCTCCTCTCTTTTTTTTTGGAACGAAAATTCCGGCATAAATGAAATGGCGCCCAATGTGAAAAATCAGGAATTTCTTGAAATGAGTTTGTAATAACATTATCGAACTTATTTCAATGTGAGAAAAACGGCTGACCCGATTTTCTTTGATCCTAACTTAAAAAATTTCAAGTGGCGCCCAACGTAGATTTCATAAATTCTTTCAAAATATTGGATAGTCAAGTTTAGGAAATTTTTAAAATTTTAAATTGCTTCATTTTCATTCAAATGGACCCCAAGGGTAATTTCTCCTCTCTTTTTTTGGAACTAAAATTCCGGCATAAATGAAATGGCGCCCAACGAGAAAAACCTGGAATTTCTTGAAATGAGTTTATAATAACATTATCGAACTTATTTCAATGTGAGAAAAACGGCTGACCCGATTTTCTTTGATCCTAACCTTATAAATTTCAAGTGGCGCCCAAAGTGGATTTCATAAATTCTTTCAAAATATTGGATACCCATATTTTAGGAAATTTTTAAAATTTTAAATTGCTTCATTTTCATTTAAATCGATGCCAATGACAATGTCTCTCCTCTGTTGGGCAAAATTCCGGCATAAATCAAAATGGCGCCCAACGTGAAATTTCAGGAATTTCTTAAATTTGATTTATTACAACATTATCGAACTTGTTTCAATGTTAGAAAAACAGCTGTCCAAAATTTAATTTTAAATTAAAAAAAAAAACTTAAATGGCGCCCAACGCGGATTTCATAACTTCATACCAAACTCTGCTTGCACAAATTAAAGAAAAATTCTAAAATTTGAAATTGCTAAATTATTATTTAGATCAACGCCAATGGCAATATCACTTCGGTTTTTTTTTGTGGGGGGGGGGTTAATTCCACAATAAATAAAATTGGCACTCAACGTAAAATTTCGGATATTTCTTAAAACAAGTGTTTGATTATTTTATCCAAATAGTTTCGAGTTGAGGAAACCCGCTGACCGAAATTTCTTAGATTTTAACTTTAAAAGCGCCGCCAATTGGAATTTCTTCCAGGCTTTGAAGGTGAAATCATGAAATGGCGCCCAACGTGAAATTTCAAGAATTTGTAAAAATATATGTTTTATTTGAATTAATGAATTTATTTCAATATGCAAAACAACACTGACCCAATTGTTTTCTTATCTTAACATTGAAATTTACAAATGGCGCCCAACGTGGATTTCACACCAAATGTTTCTAATTTCGAAATATATTAATGCCTTTAACATGTTTAACATAATTGAAATGGCGCCCAGTGTGATATTTCAAGAACTCTTCAAAAAATAAAAACGCACTAAGCCAAATTTCTTTGATATTAACCTTTAAATTTTCAAATGGCGCCCAACGTGAATTTTCGTAATATTCCCTCAAAAGGTTACTAATTTATAATTACATGACTGCCTTTATATCAATCTGGATTTCCATGTTAATTTAATTTAGGTTTATATATCTTTTCCCCTTTTTTAATTGAAAAAAATTAAATGGCGCCCAATGTAAGCCCCTAAAAGATCATTGAACTATATAATTCAAATGAAACTGAAAATCTCATAAAAAATTAGTACCGAAAATTGTCATTTCAGTTTCCAATATCTTCAGGGACTTTGATTGCAATTTTTTTTTTCTTTTTTTTTTAATCTTCCCAGGCTAAGTTTCAACACAAGCCTCTCAACATTATTTCAATATCTCCATAACATTTCCCCCAATAATTTAGCATAAGTACACACACATACACAGTAAAATTGGTTTCAAATGGACACTCTAAAAACCAAAGCCTCTTTTGCTAACAACAACAAAGATATTTTTATAAATGTTATTTTTAAAAAAAAAAAATCAAATGCTATTATTTTTGGAAAATAATTTCAGACCAGTTGCCTTAACTATTTTGCATAGAATTGAAAAATAAAAATCAAAATTAAAACCAAACCAAGAAACAAAAACAAAACTTAAAAATGAAAAAATGATGTACAAAGAACCAAAAAAGAAAAAAAAAACAACTAAAAATCAAATTAAGAACAAAAAAATCATAAATGTTTCTATTTAGTATTAAGTTATCTCGAAAACAGAAGTGGATGGAGATGAAGGGAACTTAAATAGTGAGACATAGAATGTGGAGTATATGATGAATTTTATTGCACCTCTACTTTGTTTTGAAACATATATCGGAAATATGAAATGGCGCCCAACGTGGGTTCCATATCAAAAAATGTTTTCTGAGGTTTATATGTGATTCATTTTTGTTTTAAGCAACGCCAAATGCAATTTCTCCTCGATTTAAGGCTGAAATTCTGTCAAAAAATGAAATGGCGCCCAATGTGTGATTTCAACACAAAAAAAAACTCTGAACAATATTTCATAAATTTTAACCTTAATTTAAAACGCCAGGTGCAATTTCTCCTCTTTTTGAGCTGTAATCACAGCACAAATTAAAATGGCGCCCAACGTAAAATTTCAGGAATTTCTTAAAATGAGTTTATAATAACATTATTAAACTTATTTTAATGTGAGGAAAACCACGGACCTAAATTATTTTGATGTTAAGCTCAAAAAAACAGAAGTGGGTGGACATAGAATTTAAATTTTATGATTATATGGGATCTGAAGATATATATACGACTTATAAAAATATCACAGAATCGGAATCTGCATGTAGCTAATCTTTTTCTTTTCTCTATAAAGACTTCTGAATTTTTTTGAGACTTAATGGTGGGAATTTTGGGCATAAATGAAAATGGCGCCCAACGTGTATTATCAGGAATTTCTTAAAGTGGGTTTATAATAACATAAGCAAACTTATTTCAATGTGATTAAACACTCTGACCCAAATTTCATTGATTTTAACCTTGAAAATTTCAACTAGCGCCCAACGTGGCCACTTTCAGGATTTGCGCTTAATTCTCATTAA